CATCCCAGAGATTTAACCCCCAAAACCTTCTGGCTGATTCTTGACAGTCTTCATTCTGTCGTCGGTTATATATGACTCTTCCAAATTTAGCTTCCAAAGTCCAAGTTGCTTAACTCAATGTATCACCATTCACTGAACAGCTCAATTTCCAAATTTCTTTGAATTTCTTTTAACAGAACAGTCCAACATGAAAACCAGAATCTCTTCCATCGGTGCTCTGAGATATTTGCAGTCCAGAAAGTGAATAGTATTTGTTTGGAATTCTCATGAAGAAACTCTTTCCTCTTCTGGAATCCAGTTATGTCTCAATGTTTTAAAACGTATCTCCCTACCACTGCCTGCACTGCCTGAATTAAAAACCACAAAGTTAAGATACTGCCCAATATCACAAGATCTGTTTTGTGGGGTACAGAGGGATTAGCTCTTGAGAGACATGCAAAACTCTCTCTACGTAAGTTTAAGTGCCACTGACATTTAACAAGGCATGAGATAGTTTCATCTCACCAATACATTTTGCATAATGAGAAGTTAGCCACTTTCACAGATCTGGTGATATGGCTGGGTTTCCAATCTCTATGATCCTGGTATGTTCTGGATCGTAAACCTTTAGAACAATGTATACTACAGTAAGGTAACTTTTTAAAATTAAAGAATTCAAATTAGAAAAGGTGGAAAACTAGAATGGTTCCAAACCCCCGCTGGTAAGTCTTTCATTTAACAGTACCTGGCTCCAAGGATGGCTCTTCAATTTCCTGCAACAAAAAACATAAATAAGATTGTGCCAGATGGATGAAACTCAGAATTTATTTATACCCAAAACTGTAATAACGAAGAAGGGGCTTTTAAAAACACAGACTAGGGGGGTGGAAATAGCTCAGGGGTAGAGCACATACTTAGCATGCACAAGGTCCTGGGTTCAATCCCCAGTCCCTCCATTAAAAACACAGACTAAGAACCTCACAAATGAAACAGATGGAGGACCTGCTTGTTCAGGGGAAGCGCCCACACAGCTGTCATTCCACCTCATTCACCTCAGCCCAATCCCACATCCCAGGCTGCTCTCAAGGGGCCTGGTGTGCATGTTTGCTATTGTTTGCTTTGCTATTTTTCCCAGTGCCTGGCAACATTACCACTTTTAATGCTTGTCTGTCCTTTAAACTGAACTCTTAAATGCAAGGAGAGTAATGTTTTCATCTTTCCACTTTTAGTGTCTGTTAGAATGTCTGACACATATCAGATAATCATTTTCCCACTTAATTAATGTTGCATCAGTTTCTGAAAATTCAAAAGACCAAAGGAAAGAAAGCACAGGCAGCTTGACCCCTGTTCTTATTTTGCAGGATGGAACCACCCCAGCCCACCTGGTCAACTGGGCCCTCTCCCAGATTACACAGGCCTCCTCCCTTATCTCTTCCAACCAGCAACCCACCAGGCTAGCTCTCATTCCTAAATATCCCTCAAACCTTCCCCAGAAAGCTCTGTCGATTTACAGCATTGCTATTCCTCACCTATAGTAGTGTTTGGTTTCACTATCCCTTTCCATTCCCACCTCCCTCCCCAGCAGACCCACCTGCATCTCATCCCTGCCGCTGGCCAAGTCCTATACCTCCCTCAGCATTTAACTCAGGGGCCAGCTCCTCATAGAAAGGCTTCTCCTAATGGCTTCACAGGCTGCCCCACTAAAGGAAGGGACTTTCTCTTAATATGTGGTCCCTGGCCCCTATGTTCCCTCTGTACAAGGTGCATTATTCTGGAATTCCAGCCAACATGGATAAGCACTGACTAGGTTCCAGGCACAAATTTAAGCACCTTACAAATATATATTATGCAATCATCACACAGCCCTAGCAAATTGCTATTAGTATTTCCCTTCTCACAGATTAGGAAAACAAGCACAGAGTGGTTGATAAGCTTGCTGAAGGGCACACAGCAGAGCCAAGAGTTGAGCAAAGGCTGTGGGAGTCTGCATAAGTCTAGGCATCTTCTCAACACTCCGTTTATGTAGGAAGGATGGGTCCTGTGAGGACGAAGACAGTCCTTTCTTCTCACTCATCTCAGCGATGTATCCACACCTGACACATCACAGGTGCTCAGCATATACCCGTTAAATGGATGTGAATGGTTTGCATCTTCCACTGGGAACTGACCAGCCATTCTGGGAAGCCCTTGGAAAATGTTCACTTTCCTCAGTTTCATTTATTTGTAATTTTTTTTTTCATTTCATGCTAGGAATTAAAGATTCTACTCTGAAGAAAATGATCATTTTAGGTGGAACACTTCGCTCCTTAACTTTCCCTAGAGAGAAATGCATATGTTCCTACTTGTCTGGCCAGGGGTGGGTCCTGGTTGGTTGGTTATATAAAGCGTCCATTTTAACCTAAGAGTCTTTCACCTAGAAAGACACTCAAGTAAATGACAAGACCCACTCCTCCTTTCTTTTATGAGTTAGGAATGGGCTGTGTCACTTTGCAGCTAGAGAGAGACATCAGCCCTAAAGGTGAACCAGGTTTTACCAAATTTTCTTGAGATTAGCACCCTCCTTGAGGGTGGGTTCTGGCTCTCCAATAACAAACCTTGCCCCTGCCTGGCAGAAGCAAATGAAGATCTTGTCTGAAAAGTGATTTCTAATTAAGCAGCATAGATGGCATTATTAAACAAACAAACAAAAACATAAGGACTGGCATAAGCTGACTCTATTCCATTTCCTCACAAAAGTTTCTATTGAAAATTAGCTACTCAGGTTTATTCCAACAGTTCACATCTACATAGGCTGCGAGAAAGAGGGAGAGGAAGCCCAGCGTTACAGTCACGCAGACCACGCCTGAGGTTAGTCCACATTTCATTTGTTCTCATCCAAGACTTAATTTTTTTTTAAACAGATGGTAGTCAAACAGCCAAGACGATATAGTCACCAAAAGAAATCTGTGCACTTTCTGAGAAAAATTTCCCAAAGGCAGAACCAGAACCCCTGAGACTCCACCTTCCCCAACTGTGATGTCTATGTGCCAGCCGCCCCCACCCCTGAATCCTCATCTGGGCCCCTTTCATCTCTCCGCTTGCCACCTCATGTCTCACCTAACAGTCTTTCTGCAGAGGATGCTATCCAGAGCAAATCCAACAGGCGACACCTTTCTCCCAGCCATCAAATTAACAAGAATGCCCCAAACACGCCCTCCTCTCAGCTGCAAGGAAGCCACAGTGCTTGGAAGGGAAGCCAAGACAGTGAGTCCCTTTCACCTTGTATTTGGGGAAAGTAAAAAGCAAAACTCCCTCTAAAGATGCTGATAAAGGAAACAAACCTTGCCACCACTTTTAGCTGGGAACTGACACACAACGCCTGAAATGGCTTCCAGAAACTGTAGTCTAGCCTCTGATTCAAAAATTATTGAGACGTATGACAATTTACCTGTAATATAGTGAAGTCAGATGATGAAGTATCTAAATTGTTTATAGTTTCTTTGTCCTCCACCTGTAAAATCAATGAAGAACAGAATTTATTACATCAATGTCACAAAACAGTACATCTATAAAATGAAAAATTATAGCCATGAAAAGTCATTTATGATGAAATTCTAAATACAGCGTGGGAATCAAAACAATATTATAGCGTGATTCTACCTTAACTGAAAGAAATGCTGTATGTAAACATATACCTGCAGACAGACCAGGAAACCCACTAAAATGCTATCAGTGTGGATTCCAAGATGCAAACCAAACAAAGAGAAACAAAAGTCTAACTTAAGCAAAAAGAGATTACAATTGGGTAGCACACAGACTCTCCAAGGGGACTGGAACACCAGGTGTGGGGGCTGCTCCATCAGGAACATTTACAATCCCACTGCAGAATGGACTCTCAGATTTCCGTGGCCACCACAGCTTCCCCAAGCCTGGATGCTACTGACTCTGTGCGGCTACTGCCCAGAGTGGAATGGAGTCTCTCAGAACCCTGCCTCCTTGTATCGTCAACTTCCAAAATGAGTGTGGGGACAGGAGCACAGGACTGGCAAAGCCCAGGTGACCCATCATTGCCCCACCTGCAGGGGAAGAATAACTGGTATGTTGAGCTTCGATTCTAAGAGGTGGGCTCTGCCCAGTAAGGTGAGGGATTTCTCACAGAAAGGGGGATCATAACATCATTGTTCTGTGATCCAACATGACAGACTGCTATAAAGCCCTGAACGATGATTTTATGGGGGGGAGATATTCTTAAAATATTTTATAATGAGCATGTATTGCTATTACTTTTGTGTGTGTGTGTGTGCGTGTGTATTTTTTTTAACATTTTTTATTGATTTATAATCATTTTACAATGTTGTGTCAAATGTATTGCTATCAATTTTACTTGACTGGGACACCACCTGGCACCACTCCTTCCTTCCCTGATGCAACCATCTTGAGACAGTCTACGCATGTTCAAAGAGCATGGGCACATGCGCGTGTCAAAGATCATCTCCCTTCCGTCTACATGATTAGTAGCACATTATTCTGCGCCCTGCCTTATTTTTGCTTCTGCCTTGGAGGTAATTTTAATCCACGTAGACGTGCTTAGTTCACTGAGATGGCTATAAAGGAATAGTAACTATATTACTGAAAGTCGTAAGAAATATACCAACAGTAGCAAGAACCCTATGGTGCTTGCTATATGCTAGGCACTGCTCTAAGCTGTGGCCAGCAAACTTTTTCTGTTAAAGGCCAGATAGTGCATATTTTAAGTTTTGTAGGCCAACTGGTCTGTCATGACTACTTCACTCTGCTGTTGTATCCAGAAATCAGCCACAGATAATTGTCACAAATAGGCATGTCTGTGATCTAATAAATCAGAAAGCCAGTCTGACTTTCTGCTCTAAACTAGCAATAAACATTCATCCATTTAGTCCTCCCCAAACCTACCATTTTTACAAATGAGGCTCAGAGAGGTTAAGTAACTTGCCCAAGGCCACACAGCAAGTTAAGTGACAGATGTCTAGTCAATCCCATTCACTCCTAAATTACTGCAAACTCAGTTATTTAACCATTACTAAAATTAGTTATTTAATCATTACTGAGCCTACTTGGGAGACACTCTGCAAAAGACTGGAGGAGCACTATGAAAATGAGGTGCTTCCCTGGGACCAACCCCTAAGAATTCCTACAAAGATGCCTCACGGCTTCTATTTTTCATTGCCTTTTCTGTCCACCTGACAAAAAAATCATCCTTGCAGAAATAATATAATCTAGTAAACCCCCCTCCCCACCAATAATCTAGTAAATTAATGGCACCAAGACAATGTGGTGTATAAGTTAAGTGTAAGGACTCTGGAATTAGCCTGGTATTAATTCTTATTCTTGTATGAACTGTATGTTGCCTAAAGGTATGTCTTCACTACATTACTCTTCAATCTCCCCAGCTGTAAAGTGGGCATAACAACATCTACATATCACAGTCGTTAAAAGGATTAAAGAAAAGAATGCCTATGCCTGGCAGATACAATTCAATAAATACCCACCTAATGGTATCATACACTGGATTTGTTTCTAACATGAAAAAAAGCTAAGGCTTTAAAAACAGTATCAAAGCTTAATGTTAAAGATTGACTAGGAGGGTATCAATCAGTTGACAGGAAAAGACAAACTTTCAATCTCTATTTTGGTATGTTCAAGGCATCCCAGCTGTTACACCCTAGACCAATCTCCTATAATAGGAAGGTCTAGAGTAATGTCTAGAGTAAGTGTTTAATGCCATGTTATACAACTGGATAGTATATACTCATGTACCTCATGAGACACTTTTCACTGAAGCAAAGTATGTTTTCAGAATCACCTGATATTTATATGTGACTGGATTAGCCACCATTCTAACTGGACTGGCATCAAAGGGAGAACTTAATTCCAAATATAAAACTTATCAACTACTAAGATATTAGAGGAATGACTGCTTTCAGGGTACATTCTAGATACACTGCCAAGTTACCTACAGCATGTTCTTGCAGCGGCTCAGGAAGCTCCTTCATTTCTCCCTCGACTAGCTCTCTACTGTCAGACAGGGACTCTGGGAGATTATCAGCATCATCGTCTTCTACACAGTCTGCAACGCTTCCATTATCGATTTCTGCTTCATCCAACACACTGATATCCATCATGTCGATGTCCTGCAAGTTCTCCAAACTGGTCTCAACGTCCTCCTGTTACACAAAATACAACCATCAGATGACTGTCATGGGTCCATGCACCCAGCTGACTCACTGACAAGGCTGCACATACCTGTCCATCCCCAGAATTTTCCTCTAGCCCATTATCTTCCACACCCTCTTCTTCTGGTTTGCGCCCTGGAGGAATAATTTATAGCATGAGATCAATGATATGCATTTTCCAGAAGTGACAACTTTCACTTTCTTAGGCCCTAAGCACTACAGAAATAAGAAACCTAAACACCTGCAGCACTTCCCAATTTAGGAACACCGGAACCCAGGAACAGTGGGGCCGTTCTGGACAAGACAGGCCCTCCTACTACCTCCAAGTAGAAGCAGTTCTTTCCTTATCAAGGGGCTGTGGAAGTATGAGGGGCTGGAAATGGATTCTTTTTTTTTTTTTCCAATGGAGGTACTGGAGATTGACCCCAGGACCTGGTGTGTGCTAAGCACGCGCTCTGCTGCTGAGCTATACCCAGCCCCCGGGAAATGGTGGAGAGAAGACGAGACTTTTTTCAGGCCTGCCCTTCTTAAGGGCCTTTGGTTGTGGAAAGAAGAGTATCTCACACAAATGTGCTGCTTTTTAGTTTAAGAACGTGGAACATGTTCCCCTCAGAGATAATGACATAAAAGGAAAACAAAAAGAAAAAAAAAGCCTTTCATAATTTTACCATCTAGAGTTAGCTCTTGAGCCACCACACGTGGCATACAGATACCCTCCCACATTTTGCTTTGCATACGTACGTGTACTTTGCTTTTAAAAATGACACTGTCCTCCCATTTTATAACCTTTTCATTTAACATTTTGTGAACATCTTTCTGTATTTTTTTGAGCATTAAACGGAGATACTATCATTGATCTAATTAGTACCTACAGATGAAAATTTAAAAATGAACATCCGGTAATTATTTTTTGCACATAGGTAATTGTCATCTTAGGACATATTCCTATAAATGGCACAATCAGGAAAAAGAGTATGTACATTTTAAAGTCTTTTATTATAAAGAAAAACACCCCACATATTATTAAGATAACCCAGGGGAAGGTTGTTTCAATTCATAGTTACATCAATGGTGAATAAAAGTGCCAATTTTTCTGAATCTTTCTTAAAACCAGCTATTTCTTTACCTTTGCCAATGTGCTAGGCAAAAAAAGGAGTACTTGTTTTTACCTGAAGTTATCATATCACTGCTTTGATTCCATTTTTTTTGGTGGATCACTTGCCCATTTGTAAAAATGTCTCATTTGTATCCTTCCCCGATTTAAAAACCTCTGTTCCATTTCTTATCTTACGTTTGTATGTCATATACACAACAGATATTTTCTCCCAGCTCTTCATCAATCTTTTAGTTTTGTTTCTGGGTTTTGGGTTAAGTTTTGTTGTCATGCAGCCAAAGCCATTAATCAGATTATGTGGGTAGATGGTTTCTACCTTCATGTTTAGAAGCCCATCTCCACACCAAGACTACATAAATAATCACCTATATTTAGTTCTTTTCCAGTTTTCATTCTAACATTTGACTCTTTCAGTTTCCTGCTGAGTAAGACTATTTTCCAAATGGTTGTCCCATCTGGAAATTGATCACCCAACACCATTTACTGATCTTTCCCCCTGCTGATTTGAAATGTTGGTCTTGTTACTGTATTTTTTCATCTCCCTATTGAAAGTTTCTATTCCCTTCCACTGATCTGTTATGCTTGTTCCAGTTTTAATTACACAGCACTATTTATTTTTTTGACATAAAATACTGGGATTAACTAGAAGGAAAGGGAACTGGAAAGAACAGCTTAACTTCAGGTTCTTCTTGAAGAGGTTAGTGATTTAAGAGCAACAAAAACAATGAATAACATTAAGAAGCTGGATACATTTGTAGACTCAAATTTCACTTTATAGACAAGTTTGACTCTGTTTTGAAAAATGAAATCATTTCCTCTAACTCCCCACATCCAGCCTGACCTCTTAATTTTTCTTGCTAACAGGTTATTTTATAACATTCACAATCTGTTCTGGAACCAAGAGTTCACAGTAGGCAGGTATGCTGGCATTTTTATCCGAATAGTAGTATTTATGTGGGCATCTGCCTTTATTTTTTATATAAATCAAATGAGTAAAACATAGAAAACTATAAATGATAATAGAAACAATAGAGCTGAAGTAAAATTAGAAATCATTAGGTATGGCAAAAATGAAAAAATTACAGCAAAATGAAACTGCTGATCTCAAGAGCAGGCTTGCCCAGAATCAACCTGATTGACTATTTTCAGTGTGAAGGATAAAAATCACACTTGTGAATTATATGAAATACACTGTGGAGATGTCTCAAAATCAGAATGTAGTGCAGTTAAGTTTACGTGTCTTGGACCTACTGTCAGAGACGTGCTTCCTATGGCTCCTCTGTATCAGGAAGATGTGGAAAGGGATGCTAACCAGCCACCTTCCTCAGCTGCACAACCTTAGGAAGACTCACTTCCTGCAAGGCCTTTTCCCTCAAAACGAAGATCAATTTAAGGCTACCGAATGCTTTTCAATTAATATAAGAGAAACAGACATTAATTTGCCTATATTTAATGATTACTCTAGTAAGTGTATACAGAATGTGTAACATGGCAGGGTTGGCAGGGAGATAAAAAGCTAAAGCTTAATCATTTATATCATAACACAGGCTTTTTAAAAAACCTCTCTCAGGGATAAGAATTTCCTTATAACGTGTGTTACCTGATTTTTCCATATTCTAATTTCACTCACATTTTTAGGAATATCTTTATTTAGGAACATAGGGGATCGTGACACTACTAGAATGCAATACATTATGTGCAAATAGCCTTGGTGGATGGCTGGGAATTCTTTTACCATTTTATAATATCCCTATGGCAAAACATGCCTTGAGCTTCAAAAAAATATCTGGAACTCAATCCAGTGGTCTGCCAATATGCCACAAAGATACACTAACAGCATTTCCACAGATTTATTGTATTTGATAAAGCTGGTACCATTCTAGAGCATGCACACTGATTTTTGTCCAATTCCATCCTAGTTACTAGGAAAAATCAAAGTAGACTACCATACACTTGCCACCCTTTATGCTGTCTTTCACCCTTTCACAAGAAAGATAGCAGGTTTTCATCAGGCAGATTCAGGGTTCTCCACTTTTACATCCAACTCTTAAGCAGTAAGCACAGGTACACTGCATCCCAAATTCCTTCCAGGGGAGAACTCTCCAGGTAAGAAATGACCTGACCAGAAATGCCAAGAGAATATGCAGTTCTAAGAATGTTTAGTCTTCCATATAGAAAACATACCCCTCACTGGGATGCTTATCAACAATCACTATCTGGGGAAAGATACCCTATTTTCCAAAGACAAAAAACAATGTATTTAATCCAAAATTAATGTGAATGAGAAATATCACTCCGGCAAAAACTAAAGTGACCGTCTTTGGTACTAAGGGAAAAGGTGCCCCTCAAGTCCCTCCCACACAGCATAAAACGCCATCATTGTTTGCAACCTCCAAACTACAGGCCTTGCTCAGTTCCTGCCTCCATAACCTGCTCCCAGCACCCTTGCCTGGGACTCTGTTTCTTCTTCCTGTTAAGCTTCTGCCTCAGTGATTATGTCCAAACTCACCCGGCAGACCACCTCTCTGTGGACTTCTGGGATTCCTCTCCTCACCCTGCCCCTGTACCCCTTGTAGCCTGCCACATGTGGGTGGGTTAATATTGTTTAAAAATCTGATTCCATAAACACATTCACACAGTTATACAAATACACTCATCAAAAGATTCACACCATTTCACTGTAAATTTTACTTTACTAATAAAAGATTCACCTTCATAAATCATGAAAAAAGCTACTCTCTCTTCTCCCCATTGCACTTCTAAGAAGTAACCACTGTTATCAGCTTGGTGGTCCCTCAAAACATTTTTTTGGGCATTTACATACGAATATCCTACAAAGCAGAATTAACTATGTAATGGGATCATATCGTATATACATCCTGTAATTTGCTTCTGTTACTCAATAAAGGCCTTGGAATATTCTCTTGCACTATGTATCGCTCCACTTATACCTTTTATTCTGTACTATAGAGTTCCTTTCCTCAGTTCAGTTACCCACCCCGCAAATAAGCTTTATTAATTTACCATCTCCAATAGCTACCTATTTCCTCACATTCTTGCCAATCTGGAGCATTGAGAACTGTGTAAGTTTTTACTATTGTAATAGGCAAAAATGATATTTTATTACTTTTATTTGCTTTCCTTCAATTTATAGCAAGGAAATCTTTTTTTTGTATATGGCTATGCTTGTTTTTCCTTTTATTTGTGAATTGCCTATTCATGGTCTGCTCTTTGTCAACTGGCTCATGTCTATTTTCCTTATTAATTTGTGAGACTATTCAATGCTTTCTAGATATTTATATGCTGTAATATTTTCTTCCAGCTGTTGTATCTTATTTATGGTGTCTTTTATTAAGAGAGGTTTAAAACTTTTATGTAGCCAAATTTATTTTCCTTTATAATTTCTTTTTTTTAAGTCTTATTTCAGTCCTTCCTTACCACTACATTACAAAAGCACTATTCTAGCTGGAATTTCTGTTTTGCATGGAAGAAGGTAATAGAGCTTTTCCCCACCATCAGATAGTAATTGTTTCAACATCACTTACTGAAAAAATCTTTAGTGCTTCCTTTAGAATGAACAAATCCTAAAACTCTCCAAGTTTCCAATATCCTACCATTAAAATGAGGGCAAGTGTGCATCACTTTTTTTTTTCATTTTAGTTCTTCTTGTGTATTTTCTTTTTGATTAATTTTAGATCAGACAAATTTCAAAGTTTCTTTTTAGGTTAATTTGAGGGGAACTGACAACTTTCTGGTATCAAGTCATCGCATCTAGGAACTTTCTCAAAATCAGTCATGTCACAGGTCTTGAATATTTCTTTTCAGCTTTACTTATTATTTAAGAATACTGTGTCTTTAATGTTCTCTCTCAAGACCTTAAGTCTTTGA